CATAATAAGGGAGAAGTGGGTAAATGAGAAAAGGAGAACACTCAATCCTAAGCCTATTTTTCAAGTTATTTAATCTATTTAATAAATACTTACCAAATAAATAGTATGTGTAAGGTTCAGTTCTGTTTGCTCAGTGCATAACAATATACTCCCAGTTTAGGAAGAAGACATTAAGTAAATAATTACATAAATACTTGATATTAACTAATATGAAGAATTATTGCTTCCTAGGATCAGTGTATAGTAATCTCTTAATGAATTATAATCTAGGAGTACGTGTGTGTGTGTGTGTGTGTGTGTGTCGGGGGGGAGGAGGTAGGTTTAGGAAAAACCATAAATAAGAAGGAAGAACAACAAAGGCTAATACTAGTATACCAGCACAGTTTTAAATGGCACTGTATAGGTTCCTTTCTAGTTAGCTGAAGCCTGAAGGTTCTGAACGTTTAATAGTGCATTTAAATCAAATCCTTCTTAAGATAGCACCAGTTTTTAACTGAGCTTTGCTTGATGGAAGCACCCTTGGAGTTATTGAGTATAGGTTGAAATTATAAATTATTTCATATATCTTTTTTAATTCCCTGTTTTTTTCTTCCTATAACCTTCAAATTCCTTCTGTCATCTTTTTTCTCTTCTCCTTACCACTTCTGATCACTGTATCTTTAATGTCAAATGTGTTTTATTATTCTACCACTTCTCTGCCTTGCCTTACCCCTTGAAAGTTCAGTGCTTTTTTCATTTTTATTTTTATCTAAAAAACGGGGGGGGAAACATGTTTACATATGTACATTGCAACTTTTGAGATTATGGTATGTTGTGTCAGTCTCTTTGTTATTATTGGTGTATCTTGATTAAGAGTCAGTCTCTTTGTTATTATTGGTGTATTTTTATTAAGAGTGGTACTATGTAAAATGAGATTGACTGATAAAAAACAATTCAGAATTTCCTTATTCGTTCTTTTAGCATGTGAGGTCAAAGTTTAGTTTCTTTCCATTGAACAAGGAGGATGACTATAGGTTCAGAAAGGAAAGACATGAAATACATAATATTGAGTGATTTGGGGATAAATCAAGAAATGTGACATTTCCTGCGTGGGTCTTTTCACTTAGAGTGCAAGGTTGTCAGTCAGAATTTGCATGGTATAGGAAATCAATTGAAACTTGAGCCCCTGGACATTTACTTCAGCAAAATTCTTACTAATTATCATGTCTATGTCTAGTTAGAATGTTATGGGCATAATTTAGAGTTTACAGAAAGTTGAGATTCTTGTATGCAATTGTAAACCTCATAATAATTATTTATAATTTACAGTTTCTCAGCTGTACTTCATATAACACTATAATTTTAAGTCTTTATTAAACCAGTAAAGCTTTATGTTTTGTACAAGCTGTACTTCAATAGACATTTTATATAGAAAAGTGAAGCCATATATAGCTCTTTTATAGTTTTTTTTTTCTCCCTTAATGGTCTATTTTTTGTCTAATTTTTATGTTTTCTTTTAACTGATAAACTTATTGTAGGGCTGAATTTAACTTTCTGAAACCACTTTTTTTTATGATTAATCTTTAACCAGACATTGAACGATCCAGCTTTAAAAAAAAAAAAAAAAAAAAAATTCAAATACTGAATTGGCACTTAAAGTGTATTAACATAAAAACCTGGCCTCGTTGTTCAATACTCCATGTCAGGGGTCAGCAATGGAAGGGCCTGTGGTGCAAGTCCAGCTTCCACCTGTTTTTGAAAATGAAATTAGTATATTAGCTGTTTTTGTGTTACAAAGGCAGGTTAGTAGCTGTGACTGAGAACACATGGCAAAGCCTAAAATGCTATCTTACTCCTTACAGAGAAAGGTTGCTGTTCTTACTCTATAATCTAGTAGAGACAAAATTATAATGTAGTTGATCTTTGCTACCTGACAAGTATTTCTGAGACTTTTAAATGAATACAGATAGAAAAATGCAAGTATTGGCTTTTTCTCTTTCCAAATTTATGTTTATATTGCACATTACTTTGTTTCTGTGAAAACTTTCAAATTCCAAATGATCATTTGTTTATTTTTATCAAAATTTTATTTTTCTCCACATGACCATTTATTAATGACTTCAATTTTAAAGTATAATTTAGCAAAGCAAATTGAGATGTAAGTGCTAAGTGGTTGACTTGGCTCACTCTTGCCCTGCATGTCAGACCCAGCACACTTAAAAAACGTGATTCCAATTTCTTCATCAGCAAAATGATCAGTCACTAGATATTATGTACTTTTAAGGATAATCACATAAATTATAGCCTGTATGCTAAATTCACATGCATAAGGATTTAGTATAAACATTTTATACAAAAACTTAATTTAAAAAATTCTAGTTGATACAGAATTTTAATATTAGCCTACATACAATTCTCTTAACCATATCCTATTGAAATATGTTAATTTAGAACATTGAAACCCTCTGGTGAAGTAATAATTTCTCACATTGCAGTGCCTGAAAAAAACTTATAAGTATTGCATAGGCATTCCATATATTTTTGTTATGTTTATTATTTATGATATAAATATTAGATAGCCTACCTATGCTGTTCTTTTCTTCTTGAATATATGTAATTCTTTGAAACAGAAAAGGGAGATTTATAACCTGTAGAACTAATTTTTTTTTAACAAATGTTGCCAGTGATCTACTAATCTAAATGTTATATTTTAATGTAGCTTTTTACATTTTAAATTATCAAGATAAATGAATTGTGAAGTTTAAAATTTTAAGTTGAGTTTTGTTTGACAATTGCCATAATCTCTTAGTCTGATTTCATTGACAAATAACAACATTAAGGTAAATATTTCTCACTACATATGGCTTCCCTTTTATTTTTTTGAAAAATATTTTTATTGATTTCAGAGAGGAAGGTGGAAGGAGAGTGAGATAGAAACATCAATGATGAGAGAGAATCATTGATTGGCTACCTCCTACATACCTCACACTGGGGATGGAGTCCGCAACCCGGGCATGTGCCCTGACCTGGAATCAAGCCATGATCTCTAGTTCATAAGTAGACACTCAACCATTGAGCCATGCCCAGCAGGCTGTGGCTTCCTTTTTAAAAATCATATTTATCCAACCAGTAACTGATGGTTGCTTGCCACCATTCTTTAAATGCCTTTACATCTTCATAAATTTGCTGTAAGAATTTTATCTTATACTTTTTCACTAAGCTTTTTAAATGATTGAAAATAAGTGAATGTCTTCACAGTTCTTATATAACAAGCTTTTATGAAGCAGTATATTTGGAAACTGTTGATTTATTTTGGGAGAGAAAGATGAATGTTTGCCCTTGTTGAAATGTGGCAAGTTCAAGAAGACATTAGTAGTTTAAGAAACAATAAGTTTATATAATTCAAAATTACTTTCCTGTTAACTTATACTGCTTAAGTATGTGTAGAAAGTTATTTATATATTTCTTTTTTTTTTAAATATATTTTATTGATTTTGTACAGAGAGGAAGGGAGAGAGATAGAGAGTTAGAAACATCGATGAGAGAGAGTCATCGATCAGTTGCCTCTTGCACACCCCCTACTGGGGATGTGCCCGCAACCAAGGTACATGCTCTTGACCGAATCGAACCCGGGTCCCTTCAGTCCCCAAGCCGACGCTCTATCCATTGAGCTAAACCGGTCCCGGCTATTTATATATTTCTTCCTGTTAAGATGCATTGTTCTAAAATTTATACTTTACATCAAAATAGCTATTTTATTGAATTGTAGAGTTTGGTATAATACAATTTTGTAACAAATTTATTGTGTCTTCTATTATCTTTTCCTAGTATTCTTTTTTTGTGGTAAGTATTAAATCATAGGAACCCAGAAATTGGGGATGGGGAAGTGCCTTGAATATCTAAACTTGGATATCTAAACTTTTTAGTACAATTTTAAAATAATTGAGGGCATTAAAAAAATCTACCTCATTTTACTACTACAGATTTTCATTTAATTTACCCAATTTAGTGATTGCCTAGATCACATGTGTCAAACCCAAGGCCCGCGGGCCAAATCCGTCCCGCCAGGCCTTGCAATGTGGCCTGCACCGCGCTGTCATCATTGCACTCCGCTGCGTTTCCATCACAATGACAGTTTATGACTGTTCAGTAAACCATTCAGCCCGCGATTTAGGCTGGATTTTAGATTTTGGCCCCTTCTCTGATTGAGTTCGACACCCCTAGCCTAGATTATAAATATTTTCTAAGATATATCGTTTAAATTGTTTCCCTTTACTGCATTTCTTCAATTCCCAAAATCAATAGTCACTTTGATAAACACTGTGACTCTTACAAGACAGTGAATTTTTTAGGGGACCCAATTTGCTTTCTTTGTCTCTAATAGAATCATTCTATATTTGTAATGAAAAAGAGAAAATAACATTAGTCTTCTAAAAATATTGTTCAATTTTAGTCAGCCTTTCTGAATAGTATATTTATTTTAATAAATAGGTAACAGAGGGAGATTGTAAAGTCAAATTTAGAGGTAATTATTTGTTATTGCTTTCAAGGTAACATAGGTAAAATTTATAATAAAAAAAAAGTTGCTTTGTTTTATTTCTAATGATGTCCAAAAAAAAACCAAACAAAAAACACACACAAAAACACACACACACACACACACAGAGGAATTATAGTTTCAGGTAAGAGTTGAAAGTCCAGGAATAAATATAATGACGAGAGTGAGTGCTCCTATCGCTGGGGAACTTTCTTCATCTGAGCACATATGAACAATTGATCCTTGTAGTCATATATAGCAGTAAACATTAATAACTTAACAGTCTGAAGTCAGTGCAGGAGATATGGAGCATTATTGAAAGATGGAGTCGAGCAGGTGGCACTTTAATATGTTCAGTGTCATGGTTGACTCTAAAGACTAGTCGAATGAAATTACTTGAGGTTCTAAAGATTTAAAAAGCGAACTCATTTTGCTGCACTAAGGAAATGCTACTGATCAGGCTTTCTGTGTCCCTTTTTTCTAGGCTAGAAAATATTAACCCTGAAGAAAATGACATGGTAAGCCATTCTCTGAGGAGATTTCTTGATGTCAGTCTTATATCTTAGAGGCTTAAGTTCAATTGAGTGGGTTTCAAGAACTAAGATGTGGGAAAAAGGAGAATTGACACACTAATAATGTACATCTTTGCTGCAATATGAAAATTCAATAACTTCACTCAGTCAATTTACAATTCACATGTGCCTATTAATTAAAACCCTATATTAAATAAAATATATTAAAACTTCATGTCTGACTAACATATAATGATGTTGGTAGACATTACAGGAATTACTGAACAGAATAAACAATGCAGACACAGGGATGGCTATTGAGAAGAATGGAGCTATAATTGTGGATAGGATCTACAAGACCAAGGCATGTGAGAAGAGAATAACTGCCGAAGAAATGAACGCAGTGATAGAAGAACGCGATGCTGCTTTGTCTCAGGTAACTGCATGTATCTGCAAAAGCAGCTACTTACTGTTTCCCTGTCCTTTGCCATTAAAAATGACTTTCCCCACATATTCTTAATTCAACTCAGTTATTACCATATAATTAATATCACAATGGTAGCTATATTAAAATAATCACATCATTTGTTATATTGGTCTTCAAATACATGCATCCTCATTTCTGTTAGCTTGTTATAAAAATACCAGAGGCCCAGTACACAAAATACGTGCATGGGGGAGGGTGTCCCTCAGCCCAGCCTGTACCCTCTACAACCTGGGACCCCTCAGGGGATGTCCGACTGCTGGTTCAGACCTAAACCAGTAGTTGGTTGTTCCTCTCACAATCTGGGACTGCTGGCTCCTAACCACTCACCTGCCTGCCTGCCTGATTGCTCCTAACCGGCTTCTGCCTACCAGCCTGATCACCCCCTAACTGCTCCCCTGCCAGCCCAATCGCCTCCAACTGCCCTCCCCTGCAGGCCTGGTCACCCCCAACTGTCCTTCCCTGCAACCCTGGTCTTTCCCAACTACCCTCCCCTGCAGGCCTGGTCGCCCCCAACTGCCCTCCCCTGTCAGTCATCTTGTGACAACATGAGGGTGGCCATCTTGTGACGACATGGGGTGACCATCTTATGGTGGCCATCTTGTGACGATGTGGGGCGGCCATATTGTGAGGGTGTGGGTCAATTTGCATATTACCTCTTTATTATATAGGATTATTATGTTCTTTAATGTAATCACTAAAACATGAAATCAACTTCTTATTTGAATCACAGTTTTGTGAGGGCTGAGATAATATCTATACTAGAGGCCCAGTGCATGAATTTGTGCACAGGTGGGGTCATGCCAGCCTGGCCCCAATCGGGGTGGATCGGGGCAGGCCTGTCAGAAGGAGATAGCAGAGGTTGGCTGACTGGCCCTCCCTGATCAGGGTCTGGTCAGGGCCAGGGTGGCTGGAGTGAGAGGCTACAGGTGATTGGGGTTGGGGGCCAATTTGGGGTGGGACCAGCCATGGGGAGGGGTTGGGGACAGTGAGCTGGACAGCCCCACCCTCGAATGGGATGAGGGGGCCTGATCAGGGGCCAGCAGCTTGGGGGAGGGGCCATGGGTAGTAGCCTGGCCAGCCCTGCTCCTGATCAGAGTTAGGGGCACTGATCAGGGCAGAGCTGGCTAGGGGGAGGGGTTGTGCCGATCAGGGTGGTGGGGTCCTATTGGGGGTGGGACCTGCTGGGGGGAGGGGCTGCAGGTGGTTGGCTAGCTGGCCCTGCCCTTGGGGGAGCTGATCTGGGGTGGGGCCTGGTGGGGGGAAGGACTGCAGGAGGTTGGCTGGCTGGCCAGGGGGAGGGGCTGCTGGCTGATATGGGTAGGAGAGTTCAACCAGGGGTGGAGCTGGCCGGGGGGTGAGGCCATGGGAAGTTGACTACTAGCCTGCCTCCCATCAGGTCATTTCGCTGGCTGTAAGAAAAAATAGCACATATATATATATATATATATATATATATATATATATATATATATTGTATATAGCCAGTGACTGGTTGTTCTGGTCATTATGGAATTCTGGTTTTATATATATATATATATCTTTTATTCCCAGTGCTAATTCAGTGCCTTTTAGTAAATATTGATAAATGAATCAAATTATTCCTGAATTCTTTTCTGAACATCACTTACACCTTCCTGTTCTACCCAAAACCTGATTGCCTTCCTGTGGCTCCTGCTCCTGCTGCAGGCCTGTCAGGCAGTGGTGGTATTTTCTCCTGCAGTTAGTCCAGTGGTGCAGAGGCTGGTTCCTCTACTCATTCATGTTTTTAGATTATTGTTTTGTTTTCCTCTCTAAACACCTCCATCTCTGAAGCTCATGCATCAGATTGTACCACCTGTACATACTCCTGTTGAACTCATGTGCACACTCCTATGTCTTTTCATTTCTTAAAAATTTAGGGTGTCTTTTACTGTCTCTTCATAATTCTTGTCATAATTTCTAATGATTTAACTACCTATGTAGATGATTTTTAAAAAATATCTCAGCCTCTCATCTTGAATTTCTCTTCTCTAGTCATCATTTCTTCTGCACTACTTCTGTCATCGCCCCTATGGTCACATCCTATCCCTGGTCATCACCAGTCTCCATTGCAAGCCTCCCACTCTCTGACCACCCCTTATATCTGCCCAGCCCACTTACTTTAGAACTCTGACTCAAGAAACTTTTCAACTGGCACCTGTTTCTATTACCCTACATATTTTCCTAACCCTCAAGCTTCGTATGTTCTCACTTCCCTCCTTATCTAGCTTATGTTTCATGCTCACCATAATTATCACAAACTTGAATATAATATGAGCTTAGTTCTCTTGGCCCTCTCTTCCTTTGTCCTACTCACCCAGCAAAGCTTAAGCCTTAAACATTTAACTTTCTGCCTATTCTACGTCTTCTTGGATTTATATGGCAGGACAATAGCATATAAATTTGCAAACTGAATTTACCTTAAATTTATGACCACTGTCTTCAAGTAGACATTGATGTTACATGATAGTCTTCTTGCTTTTTTATTAGTCCATTCAGTCTTCCTTCTAGAGGACTATTTTATCTTTTCTTTCTTCTCAGATATCTCCTTCTCCTTCCAAATGGGAAAAGGACTCTTTTTGTCATTTCACCCATCAGTCTACCTGTATTTGCACTCATAACTCTGACTTTTCTTATTTATTTCTTTTTTTTATCTACATGCATCTATTTAAGAACAATCTTAATTTCTGCACTAATTCACATCTTTTCTTACCTGCTTAAGGTTATTACCTAATCAACCAGTTGTCCCTTTTCTCTCCTACATGATACAATATTTTCTGTTAGTTCATGTCTATCACTATTTAAAGTGCTCTAGTACCTTCCTTGGATACTTCCATGGTGATGTCTTGGTAAATCTTGGTCTACTTGAGGTTTACCCTAGCACTTTTTTCCTTCCCAAACTGAGAGCTGCGTATCCACTAGTCCTAGCAGACCCTGTATTCCAGTGTTGGTCTCCTCAGCATTGTAAAACCATGGGAGACTGCATCATTCTTTTCCGGGGTTTTAGGACCTAGCTGTAGCTTCAAGCCCCATGCAGGTTTGGGGTTTTGCAAATTATTTGAAGTGGAAACAATTCTCAAGTCTCCAATTTTGCCACTTCAGGCCAATATGACTGCCAAAAACTTAGGATTTCTCTCTCCTCCCACAGGAGTCCTCTGTGTGGCCAAAGCCTGGTTTCTCTGCCCTGGCCCATGTCTCACTCTTTAAAACTCAGCTGGGAAATTACTGCAAATCTTCAAATCACCTCTTTTCACCCCTCCACAGACCTTAGTCACTTGGTCATTGTTATAGCAGCAGCCTTCAGATGATTTTTTAATTTATCTGGCTTATTCTTGGCTAGAGCATTGCTCTGCCAAATTATTTCATCCTATCTAGATGCAGAGATATGACATTTATCTTTAGATTAGAATCAGAAAAGTCCTTAAAATTTTAAGATAGGCAAATGTTTTTACCATTGTTCTCTACCACGTGTGTTCAATCTAGGATCATTCAATATATTGTTGAAGAGATAGCCAAAACTAGTTTAATGTGCTTGGAAATAATTATAGTATAAAGTAAAACATTTGATTTTTTAATCACTTATTTATTTTTAATCTTTATTGTTGAAAATATTATATATATGTCCCCCTGTTTTTTTCCTGATTGCCCTCCTCTACCCAGTTCCTGACCTGCATAAGCCTTCACCACCCTATTGTCTATGGCCATGGGCAATGAAAAAAAAAAAATCTCCCCCCCCTTTGGTTAATCTATCCAGCCCCCGTCCCCTTCCCTCTGAATTCCTCAGTCTGTTCCATGTTTCTATGCCGCTGGTTCTATTTTATTCATCAGTTTATTTTGTTCATTAGATTTTACATATGGGTAAGATCATGTGATACTTGTCTTTCTCTGACTGATTTATTTTGCTTAGCAAAATAATCTCTAGGCCCCTTCATACTTCTTCTTTTTTTTTTTTTTTTTTTTTTTTTTTTTTTTTTTTTTTTTTATAGCTGCATAGAATTCCATTGTGCAAATGTACCACAGTTTGTTAATCTACTCATCTACTGATGGGCATTTAGGCTGTTTCCAGATCTTAGCTATTGTAAATAATACTGATATGAACATAGGGATGTATATATTCTTTCTGGTAGGTGTTTCAGGATACAATGTTGAAAAAAAGAGATAGAGGAAGATATGAACAAGTGAAAGGATATACTGTGTTCATGAATTAGAAGAATTAACATCATTAAATGTCCATATTACCCAAAGCAATGTATAGATTCAATTCAGTCCCTTGTAAAACATATATTTCAGCATATTTCACAGATCTGGGACAAATACTCTAAATATTATATGGAACCAAAAAGACCCAGAATAGTTGTAGCAATCTTGAGAAAGAACAAGTAGGAGGAATCACAATACCGGATATCAAGTTATACTACAAAGCCACTGTAGCCAAAATAGCCTGGTACTGGCATAAGAACAGGCATACAGGCCAGTGGAAAAGAACAGAGAACCCAGAAATCAACCCAGGTCATTACACTCAATTAATATTAGCTAGAGATTTTGAGCTTTCAGAAGGAATATGATAGAAATTTAACCTTAATATTAAAATTTATTTAGCACCAGATATTTTCTAACAATATCTCCTGTATCTTGCCAGGATCACTTTAGTAATTCCATTCTATGTAGTTACTGGAAATCTTCAAATTCTGTGATAACTTTTTGACTTTGATACATTTAGGTTTTCAAATCATTTAATTACTTGAACTGGTCTTATTAAAATATTATATTTTTCAAATTAACCCTTATAATCTTATTTATTCAAATTCTCTTGTATCTTTTTCTGTTCCATATGGAGACTTGAAAGCCTTAAGGTCTTTCATAGGATGAATTAAAATTTTTATAATTAGCACTTGTTTGGTTGAGGAATTGTCTTATTATCTCACATTTGT